TTTCGATTGAAAACCATGATGACGTGTTATTTAAACGAGGGACCGTTTTTTTTTTTTTTTAAAAAAAAAAAAAAAAAAAAAAAAAAAAGAAAGAAAGTAAACGTGGCATAGAATTTCGATATCGATTCGAAAAAAACACAAAAAACCGTTTTTCGTGGTGAGAAATTTAAGAAGAGAGTATGCAAAACTTGGAAAAAAAAAAAAAAAAAAAAAAAGAGATAAAAATACTTATGGTATCATGGGGGAAGATTTTTTTTTTTTTTTTTAAAATTTGACGTGGAATTAGAAAAACAAAAGAGAGACAAAAAATAAAAAAAAAAATTTATAATTTTTAATGAGGAACTTTATGCTTTTGATGTCGCGCTGTCGGATTATGATCATTAATTTTTTTTTTTTTTAAAATATTACTCTGACGGATTATCTCTACTCCATGCGAGGAAATTAAAAAAAATGAAAAAAAAAAAAAAATTGTTAGCAGACGACGAACAAAAAAAAAAAAAAAAAGAAAAAAGGGAAAATGTTGTTGTACGCATTGCGGTTTGTTTGTGCAGTTACAATTTTTTTTTTTTATAATTTCAATGGACCTTCGGGATGTTCTCTCTCTCTCTCTTTCTGTCTTCCTCTCTCTCTCCCGAAAGAGAAAAAGAGAAAGAGAAATTTTTTCATGTGCGAAAAATTTTTTTTTTCCAACAGAAAACAATTGTTTATTATTAAAATTGTTGTTTTGTTTTGGTTTTGGTTTTACTGCTGTTGTTTCGTTTTTACAAAATTGTTCACACACATGTAAAGCGTGTGTGTGTGTGTGTGTGTGTGTGTGTGCGTGCATGCATGCATGCGTGTGCGTTAATAAAACGTAAATAATAACTTTAACGAGTCCGTTTTTTTTTTTTTTTTTTTTTCTCTAAAAAAGAAAAACAGTCGAAGCACGTTTTCATTATTTTATTATTTTTCTCAGTAAAACTTATATAATTCATGCCGCCATCACCGCCACCACTACCACGTGACTAATTTTCCTTTCCTTTTCTTTCCTTTTCCTTTTCCTTTTCTTTCTTTCTTCACATTCTGGACAATTCGAAGTAAATGATGACATTAATCCGATTAAATCCAATTTACTGTCGTCATCAATCAACCTCCGTATAAAATAAATACGCCAGCATGTGTTGTTTGTTTGTTTGTTTGCCTTTTTATTATTATTATTATTATTATTATTATTATTATTATCATTATTATTATTAACTGGAGAAGAAGGAAAAAAAAAAAAAAACTGAGACACATAATTTTTTTAAATTCATTCAAGTCCGTTTTCATTTTCCCTCGGGATCGTTTAATCACGTGCCGCGCGATATTTCTTGTTGCTGTTTTTTTTTTTTTTTCTTTATAAATTTTCTTACCCGAACGCGAATGCGTTTAACTGGTGGTGAGATTGAATTTTTTTTTTTTTAAAAGGGAAAAACAAACGTTGGAAGCGTTCGTCGGATTTATTTCGAACGGGTGAGGAAAAAAAAAAACTTTTTTTACAATTTGTTTACGTTACTATTAAACATACATTTTTTATTTTATTTTATTTTTTTGTTTATTGCGATTATTATTATTATTATTATTATTAGTTGTTTTTTTTTATCGGGTCATAAATAAAGAAATCAAAAAAAAAAAAAATACATATAATGGATATTTTTATGGGGGGAAGGGGGGTGAATAAGAAAGTAAAATTTTTTAAAATTTATGAAATTGACTGAAAAGCTATTTTCGGAATAACAAAACAAAAATCAGGGAAAAAAAAAAAGAACGTTGGGAGTTTGTTCGAAAGTTTCTCTCTCTCTCTCTCTATCTATCTTTATCTCTCTCTCTTTATCCTACATCTTCTGGTTGGAGGAAAAAAAAAAAAAAAAAAAATGGTTTGAATTTTTTATAATTTTCATGAGGGTCTCAATCACCGAAACGTTCTCTTCGTGTTTTTTAAACATTTTTCAAAAACCTTTTTTTTTCCCGTTCCTCTCTCTCACTCTCTCTCTCTTTTTTTTCAAACATCGTAAAAATTGATAAATTAGCATTTTTATATGAGGGTAAGATGAGAGAGAGAAGAGAAGCTTTTTAAAAAGCTTTGGAAAATTTAAACGAGGTAAAAATCGACACGGAAAACTTTTCGTACTAATTTATAAATTTATCTCATTTTGCTGCCACGTTTAAAAAAAAAAAAAAAAAATTGTAAATTTCTTTTAAAAGTTTCCCGGTTTTTTAGTCGACGTCATAAAAAATATGTCGTCTGCTAATGTTTTAAAAATATTCAATGGAAAAATATCGGAAGCAATTAATGATGATGAAAGCATATTAATAACAAATTTTTTTTCGCGGTGTGAAATTTCAATATGGCGTTAATTAATAGTTTACTACTAAAAAAAAGAAAAATTTTAAATAATTTTTTGTTGTTTGAAATTCTTAAAAATATTAATTAGCGGTGGAGTGATAAAAAAAAAAAAAAAAATCGTGGCTTTAGAATAATTTTTTCTGAGAAAACGATCGGAGAGAGAGAGAGGAAGAGAAATTAATGTTGATATTTTTTTTTTTTACCGCGATTTGTTGGAGTGTTTAAAAATAAAAGAAAAGGTTTTGTGCAAGGGGAGTGGGGAGTAGGGAGAGGAGGAAAGGGGGAGGGAGGGAAAAGGTTTCGAAAACGTTTTTTTTTTTTTTTTGTTGCCCCTCCCTCTTGTTTTTAATGAAAGGATATCCGTTAACGCCTCGACAAACTCTTTTGAAAACTATTTCCACGAATCAAATTTACCGGAAAATGATGTTTACGAAAATAAAATTTTTGATTTTGGCAAAAAAACGAAAACGCGCGCGCTCGTGTGCGAGTAAACAAATTTCTAAAAAAAAAAATTTTTTTTTTATTCTTTCCCTGACAGGTTTTTTTTTTTTACCTATTTCCACGTTAATTTTTTTTTTTTTTTTTTTTGTTTAAATATTGTTCGACTGCAAAAGTAAGATAAAGAAGAAATTGAGAGAGGAAAATTCATTGGGGAGAAAAAGAGAAAGAGAGAAGAAAAAAAAGGAAAATTTTAAAACATGAGTTTTTTGATTTTGGAAATTTCATGACCCCTGCCCCCTTGTCCTCTTCGAAACTTGGGGTCACGAGGACTGCTAAATACGATCGTGATAATGATGATAATGATGTTAACAATAAACATGTGGATGACATTGCGGAAACGATTCGAATTGGGAAAAAAAAAAAAAAATTTTTTTTTATTTTAATATATATGTGCATATAAATCGATATTCCAGTTGAAAATGTTGGAGGAAAATATTAGAAGAAGAGAGAGAAAGAATGATAGAGAGAGAAAAAGAGAAAGAAACAAAGAGAGGTAGAGAGAGAGAGAGAGAGTGAGAGAAAAATGTTTTATGCAAACATTTTTTTTTTATTTTTCAAACAAACATCACCGCAGATTTGTAACGTGAAAATGGTTGCAAAAAAAAAAAAAAAAGAAAACCTTTTTTTCTTCTTTTCTTTTTTTGTTTTTTTTCTACATAAAAAATTCAAAAAAATTTTCCCGCCTTTTTTTGTTTTTCCTTTCGGTTTGCTTTTAAAATTATTTATTTTTTTATAATAATTTTTTTTGTGTTGAAAAAAAAAAAGTCACGCGAATCGTTTTCTTTTTTTTTTTTCAAAAACTATTTCCGGAAATAAAAAAATGATGATGATGATGATGATGATTATAATTTACGTTATCGAATAAAAAATAATAATAATAATAATAAATGTATTATTTTTTTCCCCGATTATTTCGTTCGTGTTTTTCGTTTCTTTTTAAAAAATTCATGGGTTTCCGGTTCGATGAGAATCGAATTTTTGTTTTTTTTTTTTTTTTTTTTTTTTTTTTTTTTTTTGGAATCGCGAATATCATCGGTTCCGGAATTTCCGGGATAGCGACGGAAAAGAAAATGAAAATTTTTATAATTAAATAATGAATTTTTTTTTTTGTTTTTCCTCGTCGTCGGTTTTCCGGTTTTTTTTTTTTTTTCTTGCGCGTGTTCTTTTGCACGAAGTATATAATTTGCCTTCCGGTCAGTTTTCAAAATTGAATTCTTGTCCAGGTGTGTTGCCATGACAATGATCTTTATTAACTAGTTTAACGATTTAACGCCCTCTAATTGAGGAAAATTGTTTTTCCCCTCCGGAAATCCGTTGTTTAAAAATTTATTTTTACAACTTTTTTTTTTTACGATGTGATCGATAAGCAAATAAAAAAAAATAAAAATTATCCGCATCTACCAATAATTTTTCATTATAACTTTGTTCTATTATTATTATTATTATCAGCAATTTTTTATTTTTCCTTTTCCCGTAAATAAAAAATAGGGGGGGGGGAGAGCAAACGATAAATCACAAGTAAATGTGTTTATCTATCAAAATGCGATGGAAAAAGTTTTTTTGTTTTGTTTTGTTTCTTGTTTTTTCTGTGTTTTGTTTTTGTCTTTTGTTTCTTTTAATGTTTTTATTGTCGAAAATGTTTTCTAGAATCGTCATCAATAATTTTGTCTTTTTTTTGTGTTTCAGATGTGTCACTAAAGAAACGTTTCACTCGTGTCGTCGTCATCAAATGTAGTAACATCACCGACATCACTTTTTTTTTTTTTTATATATATAAATGTGTATATATTTACGATTTATATAAAATTTCGATCAGTCGTAAAATTATTTAAAAGTTGTTATGAATATATAGGCAAATATATATGTAGATAAATTGATAGATAAATAATTATGTAGATAGAAAAATATAAGAATGAAATTTATAATAATCGCGATTCTTCCAGTTTTACTATGCATTTAAATTTTGTTTTTTGTTTCTCGTACTAAATAGTAAAAAAGAGAAAAATATATTCCAATGTGATAATAAATACAAGAGAAAGAAGAAAGAAAGAAAGAAAGAAAGAAAGAAAGGTTTTAAGTTGTTTTTTCGTGAAAAATGTGTTGGTGAATTTGAAAAAGAAAGAAAAAAGAAAAAATGGCTGAGGATTACGGCAGCAGCCCTTCATCTCACAGAAGGAAAATATCAGATCCGCTTTCTCGTTTAAGCGATATTTCTTCGGGATCCTCGTTTAATTCCGTGGGAGGAGGTTCGAATCCGGGAAGTCCTCGTCTCCTTCCGCGAAGGGTCCGTCAAACTTACGCTCCGAACATTTCTTCTTCACACGTGACGAAAAACTCCCCCATTTTAGGGGGAGGTTCAAATTCAGCCGTCACCATTTCATCATCATCATCATTATCATCGTCTCCATCTCCATTTTCCTACGGTTTTCAAAACAAATCGACTCCTTTGAACCGTCCCACGTCGAATTCATCTCTCGTGCTCATGGATATCGAAAGTGACGATTTCGCGAACGTGCCGGAGTCGGAAACGTCTGGAAATTTTTCCGCCGTCGATTCGAGCGTGAGTCAATTCAATTATTCGGCGGGACGTTGGGAAGGAAGGGGAGGAGGATCGCCGAGGAAAATGATTCAAAACAAAGGAAAAATGGAAATCAACTGGCAGGAAAAATGTTTGGGATTGGAATTGGAACTCCATAGATTTAAACATCAGGCATCGCAAGTCAAAGATATTTTGCAAGACAAGGTGAGTTTTTTTTTCTCTCTCTTTTTTTTACCCCCCCCCCTCTTCCCCTTTCTCCCCTCTAATTTAAAGATGGCGTAAATGAAAAAAAAAAAAATTTTGTTTTTTTGTTTTTGTTTTCATCTTTTGACATTCTGTGAATGTAATTTAAAAGAAGAAGAAAACAAAAACCTCAGACGTTTTGTGAGCTCGGGCGCGCGCGTGTTTGTGTGTGTATGCGTTTGTTGTTTGTTGTTTGTTTTTGTACGCGGCTTGTGTGTTTTGAATTTTAAATAAATAATTGTTGCATTTGTTTGAATGGCGTTGTTAATTGTCAAACATGTGACTCGTTATTATTTATACAAGGCATAAGAAAAATTTGTTAACATTTTCTACCGTGTTAAGGTTTTTTTTTTAAAAAAAAAAAAAAAAAAAAAAAAGCGTCTGCTTTTCGGGGAAGGGAAGGTTGGGGGGAGGGGAAAGGGGCTCCTCTTAGATAAAAAAAAAAGGTATTTGGAGCGAAACCTAATAACTAATTACAAGTTTAATTAATTTTACGGGTTTTATTCTTTTTTTTTTATTTTTTTTTTATTTTTTTTTTTTGTCAAAGTGGAAAACTTTAATTATTTGGGAGGAGGAAGATAGGAGAGGGGAGGAAGGGGAGAGGGTTAGTTAATTAACCTAGATTTTCAGAGGGAAACTCATTATGATTTTTTTTTTTTTTTATTTGAATTTTTTGCATGCATAAAATTTCACGTATCCTTCTTTCTAATACTAAAAATATAAATATGAAAGCGAATTTTGAAAAATCTTTGAAGTGGTGTTTTCGTTTCGTTCGTTTGTTTGTTTGTTTTTTTTGGCTGTGGTTGTTGCTGTTGTTGCTTTTGAAATTTCACGCTTGAGTTTTTTTAAACTCAAAAAGAAAAAAAAAAAAAAATTTTTTTAATTTGATTTTTACCGGGTCAATAAAAAAAATTGCTTTGTCGGTTTGAAAAAAAAAAAAAAAATTGTTCGCGTTTTTCTTGTTTTATTTATTGAAAAAATTTATTATTATTATTATTATTATTATTTTGTTTGTTGTGTCGTTTGTTCTTGTTGTCGATACAAAGTTTGTACGTCACGTTGTGAAAATGCAATAATCTCTTTGAAAATTTTTCTCGATGATTATCTGGAAAAAACTGGATAGGAAAATTGAAGTTTTTCTAATTTTAATAGGAAAATTTAATAATAATAATAATAATGATAATGATAATTTAAGTTAAACAATCTTAAAGAATTTTCCATTCGGGTTTTCTTCTTCTTCTCATTTTCATTCATTTGGATTTTTTCATTTTACACGAGGGAATCGAAAAAGCGAAATTTCTGCCGACTGTGAAATTTTCTTTTTTTTTTTTTTTGTTAAATTTGGCCCCGAAATAAGATTTCGTGGGGAAAATATAACAAAAAAAAAAAAAATCTCTTCTTCTTTCTCCTCTTCCCCCCTACCTCTCTCCTCTCTCCAAAAAAAAAAAAAAAAACTGGCAGGAAGCAAAGAGGAAAAAAAAAAAAAAAAAAAATTCTTTAACGCTCTATGAATATAAAAAGATTTTCAAAATGACTTTAAAAATATTTTTAATTTAAATTATTTTACGGTAGAATGTCTTTTTTTCTAATTTTATACCGGGGGAAAAGATATTATTTTATTTAGAGTCGATTTTCCATTATAAAAAAAAAGAAAAGAAAAGAAAAGAAAAAGAGAAAAGAATGGGAAAAAAGTTGAGAGAGAAAAAAAAAATGGCGAATTTTTTTTCCAATTCTCGTCAAATATTTGGTTAAAATTTCAAAAAAAAAAAAAAAAAAAACTTTCGATTGTTTCGTAATGGTTATATTTAATTAATGGAAAGGGAGGGGAGGGGGGGTAAAAGTGAGAAAACAAACATTTTTTTATATCTATTCCCCCTCTATCTATTATATCTATATTTTTCCCCCTCTGTCTTTCTCTCTCTCTCACGCAAACACACACACACTGAAAGGACAAGAGGAAGTGACGACAAAAAAGAAAACGTACTTTAACTTTGTTTCAAGTTTAAAATAAACATAAAAGAATTTGTACGTATATAAAAGCAAGCGGGGAGTGGGGAGTGGGAGACAAAAAAAGAGAAAAAAGATGTAAAAAGAAAAAACCATTAAAAGAAAGTATTATATGAGTGGTAGAAAAATACATTATTACGAGAAAGAAAGTAATAAACCATTCAAAAAGGTTTCTTACTTAACTCGAAATCTCGTACAGGACAAATGAAAAGGAAAAGAGAGGAAGAGGAAGGAAAAATAAAAGACAAAAAGTGGGAGAGGAAAGCAGAAAAAAAAAAAAAACGGGAAAAATTAAAGTTTCCAGTTGTCGTCTGCTGTGGATAAAAGAAAAGAAAAGAAAAAAAAAGAGCAAGCAATTACGTAATGAAATAAGTTTTTTTTTTTTTTTTTAATGGGGAGAAAGGGGGGGAGGGTAAGGAAGTTGGTAGGTTTGACAATTTATTATCATCATCATCATCATCATTATTATCATTATCATTATTATTATTGTTTTTTTTTTTTTTCAAAAATTGTTATTTCATATTACGTAATATTTTTATATAATTACGAGTTGTTAAATATTTTTTTTCTTTTTTCTTTTTGAGATTTCCCCCCACTTTCCCCCCTCTCTCTATTTCTCTCTCTCTCTCTCTCTCTCTCTCTATTTCTCTTTCTCTCTCTTTACACAATTTTAAATGATCATCGCCAGACATTTTGTGTGTATCATTTACGATTAATGATTTTCAGGCTTTACTTTTTTTTTTTTTTTTTTTTTTGTCGCCGCATTGCAGTAATTTTTCTCGTCAGTCCCCCCACTCCCACCCCCTTCTTTTTTTCCACCCCGTCCATAAAAATAAAAATAATTTCAGAGTTGGTTTTTTTTTTCTTTATTTTCTTTTTTTCTTTGTCATTTTTTTACGAGGATATAAAATTGCCGATGAAGGAAGTGAAAATGCGATTTTGAGTTTTCACCTCGTTTTCGACCCTTTCCACCATTTCCGTTTTCCTATTTCCCTTTTTCCCCCCTCTCTCTCTCTGTCTTTCTCTCTCTCCCCACACGGTCGGTATTTTTTTCTTACGTAGAAGCATCAACGTCAGCAACGAAATTTCAAATAAAGATTATTCAAATATTAAAATCTGCTTCGAAGTGAGAGAGACAGAAAGAGAAAGAGAGAGAGAGAGAGAGAGAGAGAGAGAGAGTTTCGAGAGCATTGAATGGAGAAAATTAAAATTTTATCTCATAATCGTAAAATCTTTTGGACGAAGTGCGTGTGCGTGTGTGTGACGTGGCAATGGGACGCCATCATGCATTTTATAAATTTGTCTGTTCTTGTTATTGCCATTGTTTGTTACATTTCCTTGTACTCAAAATAATTAAAGAACAAACTTTTGTTTTGTTTCTATTTATTTTCTTCTTTTTTCTTATTTTCTTTTCTTTTGTTTTCTTTTGTTTTGTTTTATTCCCCCTCTTCCCCTTCTACCTCCGGTTTGGGAGGAAAACAAAAACACAAATTCTGACCGACCCTCGTCAAAACTTTTTTCTTTTTTTTTTTCTTTTCTCCCCTTTCCCGTTTGACGTCCACTTACGGAAAATACTTTTCCCATCTTTCCCCGTTTTCTTTTACCTTTATCATTAATACTTTTCCTCCTCTTTTTTTTTTGTTTTGTTTTTTCCTTTTTCATTCGAGCCATTTGCGAAATTGTTGCGCTCTTTCTTTCTTTCTTTCTTTCTTTCGTAATGAATGGTCGGTTCCCCAATAAAGTTTGGAATTTTCATTTCGGAGATTATGGGATCGGGTTTTTTTTTTTTTTTAACTTTGATTAAGTTGGAAAAACTCTGGATTAAATATGGCGAGCATTTAATATACGAAAAAAAGTTTTCTTTTCCTTCTTTTCTTTACTATTATTATTATCCACCATTAAACACGACAAGGCTACTTGTCGGGGTTTTTAAGTATTTATCCGAGGTTTCTACCCGAATCCTTAGGGACAAATACTCGAATTTCGGTGGTGCCACTTATTATAAGATAGCACCACATCAATTCTTGAAGGTCTTCCTGAGTCCATCTTTATTCGATGGGAACGATTTGTCTCCTGAACTGGGCTCCAGTGACTAACATCTTTGGAGTGGCCAGGGTCAGAAGCAGTGAAATTCACGTTCTCGTCGAGCTGCCTCAGGTCGACAGTAGAACAAGATTTGTTTTTGGTTCTTACTTTGTCTTGTTCTCATTTTTTTTTTGCTCTTTTTGAGCCAACGGCACGTGGCGTTCTCAAACGGTCACCCATCCAAGTTTACACCACGCCCAATGCTGCTTAACTTCGGTGATCGTACGGGAACCGGTGTGACCAGCACGGTATGGCCGTTGACTTATTATTATTATTATTATTATTATTATTATTATTATCATTATTATTATTATTAATATTATTATCATCATTATTATTATTATTATCATTATTATTAAATAATAACTTTTTTTATTTTTTCAATTGTTCGAAGTAGTAGCTAGCCATCGAAATGAAAATTGACTTTTTGTTTTTCTCTGTTTTTCCCATCAGCAGTTTTTCAATTGGATTCATCTTCCCCCCTTTCCCCTTCCGCCTCAAGTGATTAATTTTCAAAAGCAGACGACAAAATTAAATATCGATTTTTTAAAAAATACTATTATTATTTTTTTTACAATTTAAACGGACGAAAAAAAATCTTGAAGAGGTTTTTTTTTGTTTTTGACGGTAAAAAAGCAAAAAAAAATTTTCAATAACGAACGAAAAACTCGCACCAACACCGGACGGGGGACCTCCCTCCCTTTTAAAACAAAAAAAATTATTATTATTATTATTACATCTGACACGTGTCATTACTAAACAAGGAAAAAAGAATTTTTTTTTTAAAGAAAACGAGATTTTTTTACGAATGTCGGAATACGGTAAAATAAAATAAAATAAAAAAAAATGATTGTCGGCTTGGTTTTCTCTCTCTCTCTCTCTCTCTCTCTCTCTCTCTCTCTCTTTCTCTCTCATAACCATTAAAAGAAAATTTGACCTCGAAAAAA